CTTAGTAGATTAATTTAAAAATTAATATATATAATTTATATGAATAAAATTTTTAATTTAACAATTAATTTTTAAAAATATTAGTTAAGAAAATAAATTTTTTTAAAAGTTCTTTAAAAAAATTAAGAAAAAGGCTTGTAAAACACTTTTCATTTTATTAATCAATGTATAAATAATAATTATTAATTAATTAAAAATTAAAATAAACATTTTTAATGAAAAAAATATATATTCGTTACAATTTAATGCTAGAAGCATGATGGGAAAACCTCTTAGGTGACCACCTCAATATTACAAAAGATGTATCTCTTTATTTAATTACATGTAAGATTATAATTTTATATGATATTATAATCATATTATTATTATTTTTATAAAGAAATCATTAACTAATTTTCAATAAATAATTTGCTTTGGAATATGCTATTCTGTAATCTATAGACAAAGACCCTTACATGGAGGAATGGCCCTAATTTTAATAAATCTACCCGCATTCAAGAGTATATGTTTTGCACGCTTTATGGTTTGGTTAATATTAATAATAAAATGCTAATCGAGACTGACTCGCAACCTGTTCTGCTTAAACATTTTCAAGCTTTTGTTTAAGCTTGAGAAGTTGGACACGTTAAACGCATTCAATTATAATTGAGCTTAAGCCAAGCCTAAATGGACTTCATTCTAACCATTAGTCAAAAGACTCACTCCACTTGAACCCCTGTAAATAATACTTTTCCCGTTTCAATTAACCAAATATAGCTAAGTGAATGAGAGATTTAAAATTGTATAACAGGCAAACCTTACTCGGTTTAAGCAGATCAGGAAGTTAGAACCCAGTTGACTCGACCAAAGAAGAGTAAGATGCATTCTCGTCTGCTGCCACAAGCTTCTTGTCGCTGTCTTTTGTTGATACTTTGTTGCTGGCCTTAAGTGGCCCAGCGTCCAGACCGGCAATGGTATACAATTCCAACTTTTGCTGCTTTGCTGTTTCTATGTCACCATCCCAACAAGTTTCAGAAATGATTTCAAGTGCCTTCTCTGCCTTCTCCTCTGGGACAAGACTTTCATTTTGCATGAGAATTAGATAAACTTGTTCAGCGGAAGCTTTCCGGATCTGGTAAATTAATAAAATTTTATGATCACTATCCTTACCAAGAAGAATGTTACTTTCATATGAGCTGCATATGTGATGATCCACAGAAAATAAACAGAGGACCAATTTGATGCAAATGCCATTCTACAATACAGTAGAGGCCACAAACCTTAGGGTATCGATGGCTGAGAAAAGTGAGAAGTTGAGAGAAGGCCCGGGTGCTTATTGGATCTGAAACAGAAGAAATATATCCAAGTATTGCAATCCCTGCATATAACTTAGAGAAGTCCTTGGTTCCTTTCAGTTCAACCACCAAGGAATCCAAAACACCAGCACAGAAAGTTGTCTGAGCCTGCAAATCAATTGGCGCAAGCAACATGGAGCATATAGTTTATACATGTTTCAGCTTCCAGAATGCAGACTGACAGAGCAAATAGACATATTACAGATTTTAAGATATATATTCTAGAAATGAATAGACAGAGAGCTTGACTGACCTCCATATTTAAAAATATCTTCTTGCTGAAAAGAATCTCAATCGTCTGAAAAACACACACCAATGTTAAAACATAAATAAGAAATAACATAATAGTCAATAACTAACTTATTACCAGTGATTTATCATTTCTACTTAACACTGAACGCCAGCGATATCCAAACTTTATATCTTATGTTTCAAGATCGTGGTTTCTACTTAACTTTTGCCAATCTAAAGCAAATCCCCTGATGCATGTGCTAGTTAATCAAAGATCCCCTTCTTAAACTTCTAATAGGGCTCAAAAGCCTATATGGAATGTGTTTAATTTAATTGTAAACCAAAGCAAACTTAGTTCAGCGGCCTACCCCAAAGAAGGCTAGCTAACCTCCACAATTTCTGGGTTGATAGTCACAACCAAAATATTCCACACTCTAACGATTCATAATTGGATACATGAACAACTCGTTTGCATATTCAGGTGTACAAAGGGCAGAATGGAACAGAAGTAAAAACAGGATGATATCATCTAGCCATCTTTTGTTTATTTCTTAAAAGTTTAGCAGTTGTGGCCAACCACAGTACCACCACGGCATTAGAGAGCTGTCAAATCAGCTAAAAAGAGCGGCATTTAGGAAAAAAATAAAAAGAAAAATGAAAAGAAAAGAACAGATATATGGTTAAACAACTTGGCCTAGTCAAAATTGCAGCAGAAATGAGCACACAACACCTAAATGGCAAGAATTTTAGGGAAATAATAATAAGCATAAAGGTTGGAGATTGCACGTTGAACCTAATCTCTACATTTTTATTACAATTTATAATGGTAAAGGATAAAACTTTGTATATTGTAGGAAGTTGGTGTACCTTCAAAGTGGGTATAACGACCCTATCACAACGATTGTACTGCTGAAGAACCCAGAGGACGTCAGTAGATAGCATGTATTCTTTAGATCTATTATTGAAGTCTTCATCCATCTGAAGATACTCCAACAATGCAGAAATCGCTGCCTTCCTCAGAGAATCTTGCAGGCCACCAATAGAAATAACTAAACCAGAGAGAACTGATTTACTGTAGCAGTCAAAATGAAGTAATTGAACAAATCGTGGATATGAAAAAGTTGGCACCTACAAGACAGTATATTATAGAATATTAATTTAAAGAACTCAAATTAGAAATCAAGCAAATCACGGAGAAGGCACCCAGATAGACTTACTCCCCACTTGAAATCTGCTTCATTAGGAACAATTTCTTCCAGCTTTTCCCTGTGAGGTATAAATGGGATAAAAATAACTTTGCAGTACAGAATCCTTTGGAGAACCTTAGCAGCTGTTTCTCTTAGTTTATCCATCTTTTCTACAGCTTGCTTAACAATTCCACAGACTAAATTCGTAGCAAGCTTCACATCAAAAAATGAGCAGGTTTGGCTATTTTCAGCTACATTGCTATTAGATGGCTCTGGAATGGACTCGAGATCATCCAGTTTCTGGGTTGAAGTCACTGAATCTCCCTTACAGAGGATATATGTACATTTCTCGAGCCCTTCCATGGCAGCCTCTCGAACCCAAGAGCCAACATCACCTCTGTTATCAACAGAATAGTCATCAAGAGCCTTAAATAAACTAATCATCACTTCATCCTTGATCAGCTGAAACAGAGATAAGTCTTCCTCTCCAGTCTGGACATCAGAATTTTCTCTTGCCTGGGTTAATGTCTCACACACAGAGACAAGTCCTTTGACAGCATTAACACGTGCTTCAGCATCCCTATCCTCAGGGTTCTCCTGCAGAAAGAAAACACCACTTGCATGAATCAGTCACCCACAGATTTCTGTCATTGAGAAATTCTCACAACGTTGGAAACAATTAGCAACTGTACCTCAATTGCACACGCACTACATAGCTTCAGAACCACATCTCTCCACTGATTTGCCAAAAATTCATAGGGCAAAACACCTAATGCCATTGCAGATCCTCTTCTCACAGCCACATTTGGATCACTCAGCAGTTCCAGGTACTTTGATGTTATACTGCTAGAACTGGCATTAGCTGCATTAAGATATGCTTGGACAAAGTTTTTCACAGCCTTAACAGCTGCAACCTGTGACTCAGATGGAATTTTTCATTCAGAAATTTTGGATAATACAGAGATTGGGAAAGAATATTGGGAACAAAAATGAGAGGATATGTGTTACAAAAAAACCTGTATCTGAGAATTAGGATGTCTCAAATTCTCATTAAGGGTATCAAGCAAACTTCGTTTGATTTTTTCTGGCAATGACAGGTGAGAAAAGGAGATACATTCGATGAACCGGGAGACAGCTGCACGCATAATCTCTCCACCCTTCCCACGGTAGAGGCGTGCTTTCTCAATTGCAGGAACAATTCCAGCAACATTTTTCTGTTTCTCTGAATAAGAAGGTACATAAACATAAAGCCTGATGAAATAACATATAGGTATGCATCCAACAACTATTTGAATCAATATATGATTCTTTTATGCTTCTTAAATCTTAACATTTTAAGCAAATATTCAATTTTGATTTCACTTCAAAATTTTTCTGAAGCATTATGTTATCCAAGCACATATCAATGATGAATTCAGTAAAAGTTTAATTCTAGACACCCCAGTACAATTAAATAGCAGTATCAGAATCAGGAGAAAAAATAGTCTTAAATGTGGAAGCATCAGCAAAATAGAAATCTAAAAGAAATTGAAACCAAAAGTCTAGAGTCACCATTATGGTAAATTTAATTGGATTTTCAATTACTTAACCCGTTAACCACTAAAGAGAAAGTGGGCCTACCAGTGGGAAGCTCAAAACCACACTGATGTAATGCCAAAACCAGTTCCCCAGCTGCTAAGGTTGCACCATGACGTGTGCATAAATCAGATGACAGAGTACTAGGAATCAATTTCTCTAGGGCATAGTTAGCAAAATATGCAGCATCATATTTGACAAGAGCAGCAAGTGCCTCTCCAGCAAGTTCTCTCAAGCCCTTATCCTGAAGACATTAAACATGTTAATGAATAAATTACCCATCCCTAAAATAAATAATAGCAAGGAGCATATATAGTTTTTTTATGTCTAATCCAAATAGAGTGCTATTCAGGGTTAAAAACAAACTCCAACATATGTTACATCAAGCAGGACAAAGATCAAAGAATTAGAAGTCCATCCAAACAAACAAGTCCGTTTTCAGAGAGAAAATAGTCAAAGGAAGCATATGGTGAAATTCTAAGCATACCCAGTGACAGATCTTGTTAAACAGAAGTTCATCGACAAATGCATAAAGATACCCTTCATACTGAGCAATACAGACAGCAACATGAAGGTACGAGTTTACTCTTGATGAAAGTGAAAAGTAATCTGCAGTGTTGACTATGTCAATGCCATGTGGGTAATTCCCTTGTCTTCCAACATTCTCCTGAAAAGCTGCAGCAGCTGCTCTTCTACAATTTACCTTATCAAAATAGAGTGAAAGCTTTAGCATGGTGGATGAGACTGATAAAATGATCTGTCTGAGAATTACTAATATTGCAGAAGACAGATATAAAGAAAAATTCAGCACCTCACGGTCAAAGCATGCAACAGTTAATAGGTGAGGTGCAAGCTGTTCCAAGATGCTTCTCATGTCCGTGTGATAATATGCACGACCAAATGCCCAGCAAACATAGGCAGCAGCATCACGTACGTGAGATCCAACACTGTGTGGACCTCTTCGAACATCATAATGCAATGCCTGCCAAGAAGGATATTCTTAATCAGCAAAGATCATGATTCTTGACTCCTAAAAGCAATGATGTTTTACTAAAAAGCAACCAAACCAACAGCAGAGTGATTAACAAAGACCAAGACACATAATGACCAACAGAGATAAAATTTCATGACAATGTAAACATCCATCGATTTAGAGATGTTCTTCTAATTGCTTTACTGGAAAAAGTAACAGCAGTGGTATAGGATATTAGTCATTGAAGATTTGCAAAGTTATCAACAATCTGAGAATTCTTCAAAAAAGACAAAGAAGAAAAAGTAATTCCACTTGACAAAATCAGAATAAACCGGTATAAGAACTATGAATGTGACAGGGTAATTTAACATTTAAAAAAGAAACAGCACAATTATACTGGATCATGAAATCTAGAAAAGCTGAGAACCTTCACAACAACAGGCACAACTTTGGGAAGACTGCTAGGTAATAGTAATCCTCTACGTGCCAGTTCAGCCAATGCTAAACAACCCCCATGCCATGAACCATCTCCCTGGAAAATTATGTAATTTCAGAATGACCCAAAGGTATAAGCATAAAAAACAGATCAGGAATAGTAACATAAGAAAAAAAAATGTATTATAAAATATGGTAGCAAAGGGACATGTTGCTGACCTCTGCAATTTTAATGACAGGGAAAGAAAGACAAAAGATAGAGCAATCACATTAATATACCTCGCCTGGTGAAAACAGCTCCAATACAGATGATAAAACCTCTTCTGAGAGGCGAGATGTTAATCGTGAAGTCACACGACCAATACCCTTTGCAGCAGACCAACGCACAACAGTATCCTACATACCAAAAAGAAGTACATTGAACAACTTGTGAATCTGAGAGAAATCTATACATTCTTTACACAAAGAAAAAATAGCATATGGCTATGTGGTGTTCAACTGGATCAATCATCTCAAATTTGAGGAAGAAGGGGAACTGCCAGTTCTCATGCTTTGAGGAAATATTTCTGTTCAACAAGAATTCTAGTTGGAGGCCCCCTTCTATGTTGGACTAAGTTATAGCAAATTTGGGATGAATATGAAGTTTATATGTTACAACATCAGTCCAAAATTCCAAATATTTCTTAAAAGCCACTTAGTTTTACACAAGATAATCAGGTAGTGAACAGAAATTCACCAGAAGACATACCGTGTCTTTCAATCCTGAAAGTAGCATCTCAATAATTTCCTCTAAAATATCTGGCACATCCATATCTTCATCTTCAGGGTAGTCAGTACCCAATTCTGATTTGGAGTTTTCAAGAGACAGACTCTGATTTAATTGGTAATTTCTGTTGGTTGCATTCAAAGCAATATTCTCTCCAAGTGAGCTGGTTCTGCCCTGCATGGAAAGCAAGCCAGGAAGGTGAGAAAGCATCAGCAGACAGAGCTAAACTTGGCATTGACAGGTTCACACTTCAAAATGCACATTTCACAAGAAAAATATTGTTGACGGTCAAGAATGTTCTTTAGTAGTAAGGACTATACTACACACAAAAGGCATCTATAGTTCTCTCAAGAAACTTTTAATTTTCAGAAAATTAACAAACTTAAATCATTTGAGAAACCTAATAGTGTTAATGAAAGAATGCAAATTAAAGCTTTTCTGCTCTCCAAGGTATTCCATCCATTTATGTTTTCATCTCAACTCAAACACATCCAGCCACCAAACAAATTGCACACTGATGTAGACCATGCAACGGATCAAAATTACACCTTGGCAGGGTACTATCTTCATACCATAACAAGCGCAAAAAAGGAGTAATGAGCCCCAATTGCTATGTGAATACAGACAGAGCAAACCATGACAGAGCTTTATTTAAATATAATAAAAATCTAAATAAATGAAACATGCACACCATGCAGGGAATCAATTCAATGTAAAGTTCCTTATATTGTTGACACATCAAACATATTGGAGCATGCTCTGAGTAGTCTGGAATTAGAAAACAAAAGATTAGGCAATACTGACCACATAACGCCAGGATGGTGTACGATGAGGGAGGCAGGTAAGTCCAATTCGTTGAGTTAACTTTACCAAAAACTTGCGAAGCAAAGGACTCGTAGCTGCAGTGCCTGACTTGATCATCCCGGAAACATCATGCCAAACACTTGGCACCGCCTCCAACAGCACTTTCCTGCTGCCAGCCTGGCTATAGTAAAATAGCAGAAATGAGATCCAAATACTGATGACAAACACTTCAACATGATGCAGTAATTTGGTAACAATATGGAGAGCAATCATGTGTAAATAATTATAAAAGAATAATTTGAACTACAGTACAAATTCTCATAAACTTAAATTACTAGTTCAAATAATTTTCTCCTTATAAATATGCAGGACCAATAGTATCAAAAGTTCAAAATGCAAACCTTAAAAATAGCAGCAAGTGCTTCCAGGGTGCCAAGTAAACGGAAATGATGCATGACATCATCTGTTCTAGATGATAACACTTCATGAGTCCACTCAATAAAGCTGTAAAGAAAATGTAAAGAAGTAAGTAAAGCTAAATCAGGAAAACAAGGTTGTACTTCAGCATAACGTGTGACAGGTAAAAAACCTGGTAAAAGCCTTAGGCATATCCGGTCGAGTTAGAAGCCTGGAGAGAACTAATGCCGCCATTGTGCGCATCGGGCCAGAATTCGAAAGATAATCCTTCGAAAAGCCTAATATCCTCATCACAAGAGGAGCCAACTCATGTTCGCCAAGACTACTGCTACTTGCAATGCTAGTATCAATCGATGATATATCGAAAGGAACCAAAACAAGAACAGAAAGCCACAAAAGCATTACGCATTTCGCCTCCATCTCGCCGGTACTCTCTTGCCGCAATGACGTAACCGAAGCTGTGTTGTGGCACTTCTCCAGGAGAGACACCGCGAGCTCTAGATCGGAAACCTGATGCGGAAAGAACCTGGTAACAGCCTTGTATCCGCAAACTGTGACGAGACAATAGATAATGATGCATATAGGTTTGATTATTTCAAGAATCTCATCAGAATCAGCATCTAGTTCGATCGTTCTGGATCTAATAATAAACATCAAAGGAGAAACCATGCTCTCCAGGTAGGGCTCTACCAATTGACCTTCCTCCTGATATTTATCCATCTGCAAGCAAATCAAACAATTAATCAATTAAAATCCACAAATACTGAAAATGAAAGAAAACCGATGGAAATAGAAGTGCAAGAGAAGGAATACAATGGATCTGATCTTGTGAACGGCGGAGGGATCGGAGACGCGGCCATCGGAAACTATATCGTCGAGAAGCGATTTGACGAGTTTCCACTCCTGCAAAAAGTACCTCTGTAGAACGGTCTCCTTTGAGTCGTGCTCGTAGTCTACTCCGTCGTCCGCTGCAACCTCCATTTCTGCCGTCTTCAGAGTCTCCTCTTCTCTTGCTGCCATACTGCTGCTCTAGATTTTTCTAGTGAACGAAGGAGGAAGAGGAATGATTTCAAATTGAGAGAGGGAGATGAACTTTCTAAGTAACTTATTCCCGCCCGGGAGTGAGAGTGAGTAAAATACCGATTGGGAGTATGGAATTATGGTAGTGCCACATTCTTAATAGACCAACATTACTGTTTATCATCGGCTTCTGACTCTTGTTTCTCGAGAGAAAATTTGAAAACAGAGTTGAAATTAAAAGGTGGACACTCAAAAACCCAATTCATACTGGGCTGGGCTTCGGAAGATCATTCTTTGCATTGCGGGATGGAAAATTGAAGGGCAAGTGAGCCCTAAAAGGTAAATAAAAAATTTTCCGTTGCCGGGACTCGAACCCGGGTCTTTCGGGTGAGAGCCGAATATCCTAACCAGCTAGACTACAACGGAACCCTTGGGCGCCTATCGAGATAATAACTTAACTATGAAATTGTAGAGATTATGAATTGCAGTATTACTTCATCCTGGGAAAAAAAGTTGCCACCGAAAGCGACATCAAGTTAGAATTAGCTTGCTTAACAATCTGCAGCTAGAACTTAATCTAGCTTAGGAAAAAGGATACAAATTTAGTGTCATATATATACATATATATAGGTTAAACCCCCAATTTTGTCCTTAAACTATTATATAGACCCCAATTTGGCTCCTGAACTATTGTACAAACCTCCAATTTAGTCTTTACTATTTACAAATTTGTCCTTCCATACAAAAAATAATTGATGTGTCCGTTACTTAATGGCAAAAAATAGTAACTTAACGGTCACGGATCATGTTAATAATAAGAGACATCAGTTGATTTTTATACGGAAATATCAACTTGAGGTAAATTGGTAAACAGTATATATCAAATTGGGGGTTTGTACAATAGTTTGGGGACCCAATCAAGAATTTTTTTATTTTAGGGACCAAATTGAGGGTTCGTACAATAATTCATGAACTAAATTGAGGATTTAACCATTTAATAAATAATTTAGTAATATATATATTGTTTGGTCTACTATTTTTAAATATTTTTATATTTATCCATTATCTTTTACTTTTTATTTCAATTTAGTTTAATCTGTTAATTTTTTAACAATAGTTTTATTTCGTTTGATCAAATTGATTTTCAACTATCTATTTTGTGAATTTTTACTTCTTGAAATTAATTTTGAGATAAACTAATTTTGTAAAGATGATAAAAAAAAGTTTCTTTTCATTATTTGAGAAAATATAACTTTTATCATATGTAGTTTCAACTTCTTTTTTTTTTTTACAACTCCCATTTGTTGCATAAAATACAATTATTGACATATTTTAATAAATAACACAATTTATCATGAATTGTTTTACTTGTTGGGAGTAGGATACTCTTTTAATTTTAATATATTTTTTTATTATTTTTCTGTTAAAACTAATAAAATTTTTATATAATAAATTATTTTAAAATATTTTACAAAATTTATAAATTATATAAAAAAGAACTAATTTTATAAAATAAAATAAATAGTTAATAAATTGATCATTAAATTAAGCTTATATATTATTATAGGTAAATGACAGACGAAACACTAGCAGCCTTTAGATCTGTGCCATATAGTTAATGGTTTTTGTCTGTAACTACACGGCCAATTTGCTGCAGTGGAGACTCAATCTCTCACCCTCTTGATTACATATTGATTTTTTTTTTTAATTCTTTAAACGATAACGCGTTTGTTAGTTTTAACCTAAGCAAACAAAACAAAATTTATAGGCATTTGCTTTTGACATTTCACACTTTGAATTGAACAGAGATTCATATATACGTATATTATATATCTAATATTACTATTACAATTTACAAAGTAGACCGAACAAAATCTTCACAAATAAAACCGGCCAATACAAACAACAAGACTTTGTTCACCACAATTAATTCAGTTACTGCGGGCTTAGACGTATGACCTAACCTTAGAGAGGACTGTCTTATGGCCTCGTTTCCGCAGCCGCTTTATACCTTGCGGCGTATCGGTGAAACAAGGCGAGAGCGTTGCTGGTAACTTGTGCCACGTTCAAGACCTTGCCCTTAATCGTGGCTTTCATTTTGCTCATGTTCCGCTCTGTTGGGAACTCATCAAGACAAGTGCTGGCGTCGGTGAGGGCAGCGCTGGTCCATGTCTCCACGTTGCTGATATGCCAAAAAACGTCGTCGCTCACGGCTGATTCGTTCATGCGGCGGAGCTCCCTGATTGATTGGCTAAGTTGGAAAACGCTGTCGTCTATCTGTTTCAGGCAATCGCTTACGGCTGGGTATTCCCGGGCCTTCACCGCCTGGAGCTGCTTAGCCGCTTTTAGCAAGAACCACCTGGTGTGATGGGCACGGTAAAGGCTTACGGAGAGAGCGACTTTGGCCAGCTCTTCTGGGTTTTGGATTGTAGAGGAGTTGGCGAACCCGGAGAGGCACTGGATGCACAGGTTTGGATAGCGCGTGCCTTTGCAGGAGGCCTCGATGTAGGGCCTGGCCTGCTGAGAGTGTCTCCCTCTGGGCTTGGCTGGCTCGACAGTGCCTATAATGCATAAGACACAGATGAAGAGAAGTACCAAGGAGGAGCTGACTTTAGCCATGGAAGCTGATTGAGATGTTAGTTAGCCGCAAAAAACTGTCTTTTTCTTGAGGAAATGCGGAGGGAGAAGATATGGTATATATAGGAAAGTTGTCATATGCAGCTAGTATGTTTGAATTAAAAGTAATAGAGAGAGGAAAAATTTTGTTTTTATTTATTTTAATTTTTTTATTGTATAATTATTTATCTCACCTTATATGCGTAAAACTCAAAGTGAGGAATTTTTTATTTAAAAAAAATAATTACTAGTAAATTATTTAAATCATTAGTTTTTTAATTTATTTATTTATTCAAAATAAAGAAAGTGATAAGAGAGATCTCTTTTCTTCTTTGTCTTTTTTTTTTTCAACTTAAATATACAATAAATTTAAAACTTTATAAAATAAAATTGTTTAAAGAGTAATCAAAATAATTATATGTCAAATATTAGACTAGGTGGCTAATAATGTATATTTTATTTATGATTAGGCGAGCGGTAAGCACGCATTATTTAGAGTTAACACAATGATAATTAAGGTTTAGATGGACAGACTCTAGCTAGCTAGTTGACCATATAAAAACATTTGCAGCATTCCTCGGCCAATAACCGCGTGCGGATTGTCCTTGGTATTTTGCGTCTTTGTTTACTGGTTATCACTTATCTTGATTCTAGGTAAATCTGGCTGGAAAATGATTTTTGTATAATTTTTTTATTTTATTTTTTGTATAATTTAATATATCACTTAAATAATTAATTTTTTTAATTTATGTGAAATTTATAATATTAAATATATTTACATATTTAACAATATATAAAAATTATATAAAAAAATTATCTCCGTACCGTCCCCAAATCTGACTCAATATTGAGAAGGAAAATGTTCTTTTAATTGCATTGATGAAAAAAGACGGAATAATGCGCCTTGTTCACCTAAAACCGCCACTTGGGGCGGGGAAGTGAGAAGACAGCTCGGCGGTGCCCACGGAAGAAGATTTTGTAGATTTGAGCCGCTTGACCAACAAGAACCCTGAATTAAGGGTTAAGAGATAACAATTAGCAATTTTTTTACTTATTCCACAGAGGAGGGCCTTTGGTTTGGACAACTCACACCCAGGGGTGTATTTCTACCAAGGCAAGTGGCATTGCCAATTCACCTGGAGCGTTGAAGACAAGAGATGACAAATTCGATTAAAAACACGTTGAAAAATTAATGTTGTATAGCTATGTGGTGACAACTCATGGATGACATGATGATTGGTTCGTCGGCAAAAACAAACACAAATTCAATCAAAGGTCTATCTTTTCCAGATAGCAAATATCTCAATTACGAGTCCTATGTTTCCATAATCAACATTTATATTTTCACTTTTTTGCCACCTATAATTATAAGTTTCTTGCACTGTAGCTACACCATGTCAAATATTTAACAAAACAACAATAATTTAAAATTTTAATAACAATAAATTCTCTTACCAATTAATCATAGAATATCTTCCATTTAAAGAGACTCACTGATCATCAACGATTTAAATAATTCAGTAATAATCTTCTTTTGCTAGAAATTAAAGGTCTTGATTTCAAGTCGTATGATATGCAGTTGAAGTAAGATAAAAGATGAAAAAATGTTACCTTATGTTACCTAACTAACATACAAAAAAAAAAAAAAAAAAAAAAACTCACTTAACACAAATCAAAATCACATTGTTCCTTGGACTAAATAAACATGATTTTTAAGACAAAGCCACAAAAGCTCCAACCAGCTTATTGAGTCATAGATTTTCTTTAAATTTTGCCCTTAATTAAATCCGATGTTGAATAACGGTGATCCTTTTCTTGATCCTTTTCTTGTTCTTCATTCTTTCTTTAGCTTTCTCTTCAATCTCCCCCTCAATTAAATCAATAAGATTTTTCTTAAAGCAAATCTATCATTTCTTTCAGTCACGGAAAGGGAAGGCAATGCAGATTGACAACAGAGAAAAGTTGATCACCTGCCTGGGTCGGCTCCTGTCTCCATTTTCCCGAAGAAAATAATATGAAAGGTCAGTAAACAATGTATCCATCATAGAGATTTGGCCAACAAAAACGAAGAACTGAGTATATGTCGAGATACAATTACATTAGTACAACGATAAAATCAAATAATAACACAAAAGCAGCAAACTGGAATTTAACATCAGTACTTGGGGCAAGATTTGCTTTGCTCTATCACGGTAATATTATTCATCAACCTTCATTCCTGAGAGATAAACTCGACTCTGAATCACGCTGCCTTCTATCCAAAACCCAGGCATAACCATTAGCCCAACCTTAGGCTTCTGATCATTTTCAACAATTACCAAATTCTTTACCATGCTTTCCATGTAAACCTCGGAGAATTCACTCCCCCTTTTAACCTGAAAGACTTTTACATTAGGCTCAAAAGAGTAAGCCAGCCGGTGCAAAAGCCAGATTGACTTGGCCAGTTTTAAGAATGCCTGGTAAAATGGAGTCCTGGGGTGTCCACCTCCCATCACATAGTTTCGCTGATCTAGGTTTCCAAAGAATGAAGCTTCCATCTTTGGATGAACTACCACTAGGTATTTGCTCCTGCAAAATCTACCAAAAATAGAATCCGGATTTTGGCCCAGCACATCTAATGGATCCATCTCCCTCAGAGCGAGATATTGGTGGAAGAAGCTCTCTTTACTAACTGTAATATCATCTAATTTAATGGAGAAATTTTCATGCTGAAAGCCACTGAACATTCTTTGGCATATGTGAGACTCAAACGCAAATTTCTTGTGAGCTCTCTTGGCATAAACAACATTGGGCTCGATTGAGTTAGCTGCAGCATCAAGGTCCCAACCAGCAGCTTTCATCATGTTGATCAATGGTTTTGAAAAGTCATGAATAGCTTTGTAAGTAGCTTCAACAGCTAAGGTGAAGAGATCAGGAGTCAGATCCACAGGAAAAAATCCATTTTCCCCAGTAGAAAGTTCAGATTCTTTGGTAGACAAGCCCCTAAGTTTTAGATTCTTTTCCAGTTTAACATGCTTCTGATCTGCCTCCTCAATTTGCTGCTGCAACTGAAGGATCTCACAATCTTTGTTCTGAATTTCAGATTGGAATTTCTTTACCATGACTTCATAGGTTTTCAGTAGGCTCTGTTGTTCTTGGATCTCAGCTGCTAACCTAGAATCTTGAGGAGAAACACATACTGGCTTGGGATTGTTTTCCCTATAAAAATGCTTGAGTTCAGATAGATGCTTCAGCTCAGAAATTACGAGCTTATCAGCAGCTTGGATTTTATCAGGGTCATAGGGAGTATGAGCAGCTTGAAGCTGTATGTAAGCTGACTTAAGGGAGGAAACGTTTGTAAAAATTTTGGATATCAGGCCTTCCAAAGCTTCAGGATTCTGATTATTGGTCTCTTCCATGGGTTGAGGGTGGACTTTTTGGCTGTTGCTTTCACGATTTTGTGTATCTTTCACCCCTGTGGGTAGCATAGCTATCAAGAATCAAAGATGCTTGAACTGGATTCTGTTCACGAAAACACCACTATCACACAACCTGCAGTTTCTCACCAAATCATCAATGACATCTGGTAAGTATCAGAAGTGTGGTGATTTCATGCAAGTTGCAGGAAGTTGGAATGAAGAGAAACAGGAAAGTTGTCATAATCAAGGTTGATATTGCTTTCACTTTTCAGTAGGCTCTGCAGTTTTTCTAGTAAAAATCTTCTAATAACAGAAAGTTCAATTTTTCCATTTGAATCAAAACAAATACTAACTACTACAATAGGGTTCAGGAAAACATCCTCATATATCCATTCACAAAGTATTAAAAAGTGAAAATGCTGTGCCTAAATGTTAGCACTAATAGCAACATGAATCAATTTAGACTTCAATAATAACTTAAGTATCACTGCTATATGAGGAAATTATACCAAACAAAATGGCGCAAATCCAAATGCATCTTAGCCCAAAGCTCAAAATGTTATTTAGATGATGTGCACATGATTTGAATATTTCATATGCTTCATTATAATTTCATTTTATTAAGCAGTAACAAGGAATTTAGAAAAGAGAATAAAAGATCAATGATGCAAAATACAAGTTCCATGAGTATGAGAGTGTCATACTTCACAAAAAGGCATGATCTGAACTGAATACCTGAAAAGAGCACAAAGCCGCCTTACGGCACATCTGGCTAACATAATACTTCAACCTGAAATATTAAGAATATATCCATCTCAGTCCAATAACAGATTCTCGTGCACAACCAGAACTCTGTGATCCATCATTGTTCAAACTTCAACCTACAACCAGACACCAACCTTGACTATGAATAAGGGTTTTAAGAAGCAATCCAACATTGAACCATTGTTGCTGTGGTCATTCCAACATCTACAAAGCAAAGTGCACCTAAGAATGGATTGATGGTCAATAATCAAAAGCCCAACTTCAGTTTGGCCAAAAAAAAAAAAAAAAACACAAAGAAGCTAACTTAAGCTTCTTCAACTCATAAGTCAGAACCAAATCCTAAAGCCTAAAGCCTAATCAGCATAAAGTAAATCTTAATGCAATACCAGAGATAGAAAACAATAGCAAGAATAGAATCAAAAGTCAAAAGGAAAGTTAATTACAAAACCTTCAGCTAAAAACAATCCCAGTGCATAGAAACAATAAGTACCATCATGTTCAAGCTAATAACTCCTCCTTTTACCAGAAAATGGAAGAAAAGAAAAATGAAAACTTCAAACCTAATAACAGAAATCTGAAACCTTAAAACGACCCACAAATAATCAGCTAAATCATTTGGCTTCCCAGCATTTTTCTTCACTCCGAGAAGCGAATTAGGAGGGAAAGCGTGGAACTTTACCTGATCGGAGAAGTTGCCGGAACAAGTAAAGAATGTTGTTAGACAAGTCGCGTAGAGGAGAGGGAAGGGGAAATTTAGTAAAGCTGACCTGGGTCTACCTGACCGGTGGAACTAATTATGAATAACAATTTTTTATTGTTTTCCGAACTGTATTTGTACAAAAGAACTATTTTCTTTTCTTTTTTTTTTTCTTTTTTTTTTAAAAATTTTAAAATTTTCTTTCTCAATTAGGTGGAAACATACACTTATAATGTGATTTATTATATGATTAATTTTTTTATTTAGAAATTTAAATTATATTTTAATTACAAATATTAAAAATAAAAAAATATTTTTTTGAGAAAATAATAATTAAAATATATAAAATTACATTA